GGATTTGAGGAACTCCTGGATTGAGTGGGGTGACTTGCTGATATGGTGCTTTAGCCTTCGTTGTAACTCCTTGGCTAACCTATGTGTTGGTGTGCCTGGGAAGGAGACTGTGGGACTGAGGGGTACTTCTGGTTTGAGTATCTTTGGGAGGCCGTAGAATCGGTGGGTGGGGGCGTGGGGAGTGTTTGTCCCTTCTGGTTTCACTTTTAGGTAGTCTGTTTTGTTGATTTGTCCGGTCTGTTTGAGTCTCTTTAGTGTCTCCACAGCATCCACAACCCGAACTGCAAATCTACTCAAGAACCTTAATGATCCACATTATAAACTAATATTGTTGAATGTGCTCATCAAAGCATTTTCACTTTTGATGTGCATCAAAAGATTGTTGAAATCCAAGTAAGATGTAATGTGGCTGAGTTGCTATTAAGCCAGTGTCCCCAGTGATGATCAGTGTTCGTTTAATACTGTTAGAACAGCAATTTGTAAACTTTTCCAGCCATCCAAGAAGACAGAACACTCACTATTCATTTCCTTGGAAAATATAAAGAGCCAAAGTACTGTGGCTCCTGGAAGTCTGAAATAAAAACAGAAAACGCTGCAAGCACTTATCTGTGGAGAGAAAGAGAGGGGGAACCTTTTAGGATGTGACCTTTCACAAATATTTGTGAATCAGCCTGCTCAGATAGGTTGTTACGTACGTCTGGGACTTGAACTGAAACCCCTGGCTCAGAGTTAGGGATACAAAAGCACTATCTGCCATCACATGTAAGTAAAAGCAATTAAGTATCAATTAGGCTTGTTTAACAAGTCTATTGCCCCAGACCATACCATAATATAACTGATGGGCAGGCTGTTTTTTTTTTAAACTATATATTGCCTAGCTGAGAAAAGAAATCCAAGTAAGGAAGAGTGTCCCCACTCTCAAGATGCTACTCTCCTTTTCACGTCACCAGCCCTCCAAAACCTAGCCCCTCATCTCCTCCTCCCTGGCTTGAGGATCTCTCCCTACCCTAAATCCATGGGACTTCACTTTCTGGTACAACTATAATCCGTGTTATGCTGCTTCCTGCAGTCTCAGCAGTGCTCAATACTGAGCTCTGGCACTGTTGATTGACCATATCTCTCAAAGACAGGACTTCTTTTCACCAAAGAGCAGAAGGCTCACTCGCATCTGATATAGTCTGCCCTTAGTATGTTCTGGCTGTTGGATGGGCTTGTGCAAATCTTGTTGACTACCAGCCAGTTTTCCTTTTGGAAGTGTGAATATTCTGCGCCCCCTGACCCACACGTTTGTGCGTGCATGCGGAGTAAAATACTAAAAACATGGAAATTCGAAGAATGGGCCCAGCCAGCAAATTCATCCCTCTGATGAATATAAAAGAAAAATGTTAAATCTTTATCGAAAAATTCGGGTTAGCCCCATAGCAGCCAGTTCTAATCTCAATATGTTAGTAGGGAAGAGAAAGTTCTCAAGAGGATACAGAATAGATTTATAGAGTGGTTCCAAGACTCTGGGATTTCATTAACAATGTTGGGTTGGAAAAATATTGCTTTTCCTTGGAGCCAAAGAGAGTGAGAGGAGATTTTTTTTTAAGAGGTGTGCAAGTTCATGACAGATTCAGATAAAGTTGAGACTTTAAAATTTCTCCGATTAGCAGTCGGTACATGGCAAGTGGATTAAGATTTTGGTCAAGATATGTAGGTAAATACGAGGAAGATTACTTTACTTAACGTGACCTGTGGTAACGATGTATAACTTACAGGTGACAAATTTGGTTTGGAGGATGTTCTGAGACGAGGATGTAGAGATGCTGCAGTGGGATTTTGGAAAAGTTGAGTGAGTTCAAGCAATGTATTGCAGAAATGAGGTTTTCCACTTTGGTAGCAAAAACCAGAATCATGATAGTTTGGGAAAGAGAGGGAAGAGTAACGAAACCTGAATGTCTTTGTCTTTGTCTTTGTACATTAGTCACTGAATATGAAGGTGCAGGTGCAGCAGGCAGTGAAGAAGGAAAATTGCATGTTGGCCTTCGTAGCAAGAAGATAGGAGCAGGGATGTTTTGCAGCATTTGTACAGGGCCTTGGTGAGACCACACCTGGAATATTGTGTGCTATTTTGGTCTCCCTTATCTGAGGAAGGATGTTCTGACTGTCAGGAGTGCAACAAAGGCTTACCATACTGATTCTTGGAATGGCATGGCTAACGTATAAAGAGAGATTGGATCGGTTAGGACTTTTGCTGAAGTTTAGAAGAATGGCAGGAGTCTCATAGAATGCTATGAAATCCTTACACGTCTAGACAGGTCAAATGCAAGAAGGATGTTCTTGATGACCAGGGAGTTCAGAACTAGGGGTCACAGTTTAAGGATTTGGGTAAGCAGTTTAGGGCTGAGATGAGAAATTTCTTCACCCAGATAGTAGTAGTCTGTGAAATTCCACGCCACGGAAAGTGGTTCAGGCTAAAACATTGATTGCTTTCAGAGGAGTTGGATATCGTTCTTGGAACAAAAGCGAGCAGGGAACTGATTTGGATGATCAACCATGATCCTACTGAATGGAATGGCAGGTTTGAAGGCCGAAATGAGCTAGTCCTGTTCCTATTTTCATTATTTCTAACTCACTGCCCATGAGGATAGTGGAAATGGAAACAATCAGTGACCTCAAAATTGTAGATACAGTTGGAGGCAAAGTTCCTTCTAGGTTGCATGCTAGCCACTCCAAGGTCAGAGTATAGCAATCACCATCAACCTGCCAATCACAGTATTGAGTTGTGATTCCAGAAACTGCTACCGCACATGGACCTTGGAGACCCATGCAACCAGAAAGAAATTAGAGGGAATGTTGCTTGCAGGGCTATGGCAAACGGGTTTGTGAGTAGGACTGCCTTGATCATTTCACAGAGCTGGGATGCACATTCCTGATGGCAGAATTGACCTCCCTCTACCATCTCTGAGTGCAGACTATTGATCTGACACAATCTCATAATTCTGGCTGTAGGAGCTGATTCCACTAGTTATCATGCACATAAACTTGCTTTGTAGTTTCCCCAGGTTGGCTCCTCACTTTCAGGTACACCTGCTTCTGGCATGCTCTTCTGCACTCATTTAACCAACGTTGATTCTTTAGCTTAATAGGAATGGTGGAAAGTGGGTTATGCTAGACCTTGGAGTTACAGATTATGGTCAAATACAATTCTGCTGCTAATGATCCGCAGTGCCTCATCGTTACAGTCTTGAACTGCACTTAATTTCTGGAACTGTTCCATTTCACAGGGTCGTAATGCAGCACAACATTGTAGAGGGTGTCCTCAGCAAGTGAAAATGGAACTTAAACTTGAAAACGGGTCAGTCCTATTAATGTTGTCATGGCAGGTGGAGTGGTGAGAGTTAAGTCTATATTTTTCCCTCATTTTGGTTCTTGCACCATTGGACGAAAGCCCATTCTGGTAGCCTTCAAGACTTGATGCCGCCACTTTTGATAGCAAGACATACAAGTTCCCTATTCTGAATGCACTTTGTGCCCTCCCTGCCCTTTGTTTTTCTTACAAATAGTGTTTAGCATAGAGGACCATTACCCCATCAGCTGAGGGGGTACAGTTGGTGGTAGTCAGTGGAAGATTTTTTGGTCAGGTTTAATTTGATACCATGTGTATGACTGTCATGCTGTTTCTCATTTATTGGACAGCTCTCCCAATCTCTCCCAATTTTGGTACAAGTTCCTGGACATTTAGTGAAAAAGATTTGCAGGTTTAACTGAGCTGGGTGTGGCTTTGCACTGTGGGGTGGTCCATCTGTGGTTCATTCCTGTATTGTTGTCATTCTATAAACTGATTGATTGGATTGCTAGGCCATTTCAGGGCCCAGGTACAAGTTAACCACCTTCTCTGCCCCTTTATTTTTGTGAAGGACAGGTGGATTTTTTTTTTAAATGTATGTTTTAATTACTGATATTATCTGCTTATTCCATATTTTTGTTGAATTAACTGAATTTAGATTTAGCTGCATGATAATATTAGAATTCATGTTTCTAGGTTGTTAGTCCATGCCTCTAGATTAGCAGTCCTGTGATTCATCAGCTATGTTACTGTACTCTTGGCAGAACTGTATTGAAATTGGATCAAATGACAGATGAGTTAATTTCCCTAAATCCCATAAACTAAATATTGGATGAAAAACACTGGGAGGGATGTAGGGACCAATGTGGTTCACAAATTGCTTGATCATATGTTGGAGTAACAACTGGGATGACATGATCGAAAACCATACAGGTGAGTTTGCTAATGATTCAGGAAGTACTGCACAAGGTATAAAATTACAAATAAGCATTTAATAGAGTTAATGAATGGGCATAACTGCAGCCAGTGAATTTTAATGAAGGCTGCACCTGAAATACTGTGAGCAGTTCTATGCACTATACCTTCTGAAAAAAGAGTAAGTAAAATGTAGATTTATCCAGATGACTTTTACACTCTATATTCTAAGCCTTTAATCAAGTTCTCCATTTACCTTGATTATTACCAGTTCACGATCTATGTATGTATAGTCACACCAACTCCGACAATCATCCAAGTCTTTTTACACCATTATTTGTAGTCTTTCACCAATGAGAAAGCAGTTTTCCTTAACAAGCTTCAGAAGCAATTATATTCAAACCTTACTGTTTGTGAAGGTTTTGTTTTATTGAACTGTATTTACAGGATGATTGTGTTCCCTCTATTTTAGATCTTTTTGATTGTTGATTAGGTTGGAGATTTCATAACTTCCAACTGGATTTCATTCTTATAGTGGAATTATGTCAGACACCTTCTCAAGCTTGTTTACAGGGAAGCGCCCTCACATTTATTGTAATGTTGATAGGTAAACAGATTCTTAATTGATCCTGTGATCTACTTCGTATGAACAGCTCAGCTACATGCTCAGCAGTGCATTTAAAAAAAACAAATTCAGTTGTTAAATTTTACTTAACTGGATGAAGAATTAATCCCGACCTTTGTCATTCTCTAGGGGCAATTGGATACTTCGTACATCCCTACAGAAGAAGAAAGAAGGGTCTTCAGGGAATGCAATCAGGAAAGCTTCTATTATAGATGTAGGTATAAGTTTTTGGTCAATTGCTATTCACCTGATATTTTGATATTCACTATTTTGATAGAATTTTGTCTATTTCTGTAAAAGCGATGCCAAATTTAGATCTGTTATTGAAACATTTTATTCCAATTAAAACAATTTCAGGGTGTACTGAATTCTGCTCTGGGAGTATTTCTCTGCAGTGACCAGTTAAGAGACTCTCTTTAGGGTTTGTAGGTACAAAATATACCTAAAGTATAAAAGGTTTGGAGATACTCATGATGATTCATATTTTCTTACCTGTTTTTGCTTGCATGGTGGCACTATTGTTAACTAATTAAAATAATTTAACTATGCATTTATCAACCAATATTGAATGTTACATGCTTGAACAATAATTGTACATGATATTATATCTTTACTATTAATAACGTTTTTAATGCTGCCTGGTAGTTGCCAGATTTGGTTTTTTTTTTTTAAAAATGCAGTCTCCAGTCTAAACTCTTAAACGGTAATTAACTGCTCAATTTACTGCATCATCTACTTTCTCCTGTTCTGTCCCCCACCTATTTGTATTTAGAGTTATGTACTATTTTCCATTCTAACTAATAGGTAGTGGTAAAAGTTCAAGCTGCAAACTGGTAAATCCGTGTCTAGTTCTCGAATCTGCAGTCATATTTCTGTTTTGGAGGACAGGTATCAGTCTTTGCTCATGATTGTTATGCAGCCTTTGAGTCAGGTTCTGGGTTTCTGCCCCATACCAAAACCTTGAGCACAAGTTAGGAGTGACAATACAGCACAATCCTGAGGAAGCACACTAAAACATTATCAAAGCTGTGTTGTTCAGTAGAAGTACTAAACCTTACCCATATTTTCCCATTGTAAAGAACACAATGAAAGAAGACAGCAGGAAGAAAGCCACTGTCTTTTCTTCATTCCCTACCCACCAAAGCACAAACATTCACCGTTTCTCATTTTGCCCGTCAACCTATGTCATGAGAAAAGGTTATCATGTTGTCGTTATTTGTGAAAATTTGCTCGGTATAAGTTGGCTACCACACTTTCCTTCATTACAGCAGTGGCTACAATACATCTTACAAGTTATCTGTGACGCATTTTGGAACATGCAGAAATTGAAAGCCGCAAAACAATTTTTTTTTTTTTTTTTTGTTTTTAAATCATCCTTACTATAATTGACTTTTCACCTCAAGCTATCCCTGAAACTTTAATTTTTTAAAGAAATTCAGACTCGGGCACTACAAGGGCAAGCATGTCATTTCATTTTAAGGTGATCATGTCCAAAGTTCATTATTTCCTAATGAATCGGAACTTTTTGTTCAGCGTATTAAATTGGCATTACAACGTGCACTTGGGTCTGCTTTGAACAACTCTAGGTTGCTCCAAACCTTACACTTTAAAAGCTGTCCTAGAAAAGAAATGTTTTCTATCAAATTAATTCATCCAACCTTGTGTAGAAATGTCTTTCCAACTTTATTGCATAATTTTTTTTTCATCACTAGATAGAGTTGTAATGTTTGAGTCACTATTTAACGGTACTATAATTGGGATCATTTACTTGCTTGTTCAAATGCTCTTTACAGCATTGCCTTTTTCTGGGATGAGTATGCTAGGAACTCAACTCCTAATCTCCAGAGGTAACTTTTAAAATAATTAACATTTTTTGATTATCATTAACAGTATTCATTTAATAAGTTGCTGTCATTTCTGTACTTCCCATTTAGGAGTCCTTTCGACTTCAACTCGATTTGGATCCATACCTAAGGTTGCATGTAAGTTAGGTTATTCATTCCTTAGGCAGCAGAAAAACTAATTTGAAGTTAATGCATGTTGACTTGTTAATTTCCTTAGTGGTAAAAGAATTTTTCTTACTCTGGTCGAAATAGTTTCTCAGAATGAATCTGATTCTAATGCTGAAAAGTGTTCAAATATTTATTTTTAATTTTGCACCTACGAATATCAAGCTGTCTGAAATTAGGCAGAGACATTGAATTGGCAAGCAACAAAATAAAGCTCCTGATACTTCAATAATTGGCTTATGTAATTCTAACTCAATAGCACTACTGCCAATATAAGGCAGTTGTGGTGTAATGTGGATACATTAATTGAAATGCTTCTCTCATTTCGCAAACTTAAGAAAACTAAATTGGAAATCTCTTGTAACTTTTCTACTGCATTTCTTTCCCAGTTGCTGGTATTTGTGGTTACCTGATCGGAAAGATTTCCTACATGAAGACATGCCAGGAAAAGTTCATGAGACTGGAGAATTCGCCACTTGGAGATGCTCTACGGCAAGGACGTAGAAGATTCCCACATCCGTCAGTCGTCATTTTTAATATTTTCCAGCATTTTTAGTTCAGTTATGTAGTGAAAATTATTTGTATGTATATGTTACAAAAAAAAAGCAATTTCTCTCTCCTGAAAAAAAGGCAGAGATGTACATTAGTATTTATAGCTTGCAATTGAATTCTCAGTGCGAAGTAATGCAAGACAGTTTCTTTATTCACGGATAAGAGCATACAGCTTGCTATCCCTGACAATGGCAAGGGACTTCAGCTACACACAACCAAACATTTCTATAATAGGAGCTGACTTTTTCACTTGTTTTAATTATGACGAAAATAGGATAATCTGTAAATGCATAGCAGTTAGAACATCTAAATTCTGCTTGTTTTATGGATACAAGTTTACACTTTTGACAAGTGTTTCCGAGGGCTAATATGAAACAAAAGAGAAAATGAAGCTTGCATGATACCAATATGATTGAAATTCAAGTGATGGGCCACACAAAGCCATTAATAAGGAGAATTGGTTATTTGCCATTTAAGGAAATAATGACATACAGCTTAAAATGGAGACTGTTACTGTACTGTATCCATAACCTAGATTAGGTGTAGAAATGAAGTAACATTTGCAGGTCCAGTTAACCTTTACTATCTGAAATTTTTTCAGCAGTTAATGTAAACAACATCAAATGTACTCTGTGGTAAAATATTGGAAACAATACATAACATTAGCTAATGTATAAACAGTGACAAACTGTATGCTGTACAATAATCTAAAATGGGAATAATGCCCAAATGATTTCTAGTTTTTGTGGTCAATTACACCCTGCATTTGCATTTCTCTAAATGTTCCTGGCTTTGTAACATTACTGAATGTATAGTAAATCCCAGCCATAAGTTTGGTATTTGATTCAGCTTTGGGAAGCTTCTCTAAAACTGCAGTATAATTTTTTTTTACAGTTGTCACTAAAGAGCTAATCGCATAATTCTTTGCTAATAAATTCCATTAATCATAGAATCCCTACAGTATCGAAACAGGCTCTTTGGCCCAACAAGTCCACACCGACTCTCAGAGAATCCCACCCAGACCCATCCCCCTAAACTACACATCCCTGAACACTATGGGCAATTTGGCATGGCCAATCCACCTACCCTGCACGTCTTTGGACTGTGGGAGGAAACCGGAGCACCTGGAGGAAACTCACGCAGACACGGGGAGAATGTGCAGACTCCACACAGACAGTAACCTGAAGTGGGAATCGAACCCGGGTTCCTGGTGCTGTGAGGCAGCAGTGCTAACCACTGAGCCACCGTGCCGCCCCTTAATTATAAAGTCTGTTCAAGTGTACATGTATAGAGATCTATTTCAACCTCTGAAAACATGGATGAGAATTTCCCGCCTTGTGGTAGAATTCTGATTTTTCTTTTATCCTGCTCTTGGCAACGTTTGCCTGACCTTTGTATCCTGCTCTCCTTCGTGCTTTGATTTGCATCACATGTATATAATCCAGCATGGTTTAAATTAAGATTAAAGTATCTCCGATCTAGGAGGTGATAAAGCATTGCCTACCTGATAAGGGACGTGATGAGTACTTGTCTACCCCATAAAAAGACTTGTATTACTACTTTCAAAGTTTGCGTTTTCCTCAATCGCCCTATTTAATTTTCTTCTTCACCTTTCTTAAAACCAATCTTTAAGCAAGCTTGTAGTCATTTCTTGCTTTGCATTGGTGTCAGTTTTTCTGTGCTTCCATATGGCACTTTTTTTCCACGTTAAAGATATAGACGGAAGTTATTCTTGAGCGGCATGGTGCATTTTATATATGATCCTTTGTACCTCTTATTTGCTAAAACACAAAACCAAGCCAGTCCGTAAGACCAGTGTTTGTAAAATCTTGACACTGCATTATTAAGTCTTCAAGGTTATTTTCTGGTGCTAGTATTTACTTCAGCGAGTATTACAAGTACCAACCGACATTAAATGCTGAAATGCAGAAGCTATTTTTGTGATTTTTTTAATATAGATTTTATGCTTTGGCTAATTGTCATGATGTTAATGGAAGGTAAAGAAAAGGAAAGATTTCTACCAACTTGAAATCTAGTAAATTTGCACATCTGAATTGGTCTGTAAGCGTTTGCATCTGCAACAGATGTTATAATTATGATTTCCTGTCAGACAATTTAAAACCTTTCCTTTTGGCCATTAATTTTCAGACTTTTTATCTTTAGTCATTTTCATCCCTGTGAATAACCTTTTTACTGCTCTCATCCTGCTCCTGAACTATGCACCCGGCAGAATAAAGCAATTTTTCTAAACAGTACCTTTATAGTTTATAATAACATAAATATTGTGTCATGATTAAAAAGAAAATAATGAAATTGAGCACGTTTGGCGTATGTTTCTTGTTTATTTTAGCCAAACAATGAAGATGAGTTTAAAGTGAAACCTTCCCAGCTACAGTTTGTACATGGAGATTCAAGTAAAATGATTGCAGTCATTATTTGTAAGATCGGCTTAATCTGATGACTTACCTTCATGACAGTCATATGTTTTGCTGCTAAAATTGACGTGGATCATTGGGGATTACAAGAATAACATTGGAATTAAATGTTGCTGCTGAATTAGTTTACATTTTGAATATAAAAATGTATTTGTTTCATTAAGTGTCACTAAGGCTAACTCAGGAATTTTTGTCCTTGGATACAATGAACAAAATCATGCAAGTGAATGAGAACTACTTAACTTTTTAAATTGAATTACGCTGTTGAATGATCCGACTGGTTCCATTCTAACATGAAAAGGGTTTAATGGGAGAGTCCTCAATCCTGTGGATGGGAAATAGATATCGAATATGATAGTCAATTACGTCATGAGAATATATTATGTTATTTCTTAATGTGACCATCTTGTAAATTTAATTGTTTTTCTATATCCACTCCTTCTTCAGCCCTAACCATCATGAGGTAATACTTGCTAATTTTATATTACAGACATTCATATCAGAAGTCTGAATTTTCTGACAGTACTGTAGAACATCTACAACCTGAAGTGAACAGCCCTATCACCTACTCTGATGATTATAACCATAGTATCTCTGATTTAAAACATGAGTCTGTTCCATTCAGTTCTACGCTCAGCGAGTCAGCTCCTACAGGGATTGTTGACACTACAGGAGGTATTTTGTGTCCTTTTACATCTTTCAACAGTTTGATACAATATGTAATATTTAACAAATAATATTAATTATGCATTCTTTTGAAGAAAAGTGCAGTGGATTGTAAAGAGCAGACATATTTAACAATAGTTGACAGGTTTCTTTTTGTCAACTTTTGAAGTCCTTGTGCAGCAATAATCTGAAAGTGTTATCCAACTACAAATTCCAAAAAGTTAGCATCTTAAAATAAAAAGCTGACCAACAATAAAAGACAATCATTGCAAAGTAATTAAGAACATGAGAACATAAGAACTGCAGGTGCTGTAAATCAGAGACAAAAAAATTGCTGGAAAAGCTCAGCAGGTCTAGCAGCATCTGTGGAGAGAAATCGGAGTTAACATTTTGGATCGAGTGACCCTTCTTCAGAACTCCTCAGAACATTGAGTAAGAAGTTAGGGGTCATGTTGCGGCTGGAGAGGACATCGGTTAGGCCACTTTTGCAAATCTGTGTGCAATTTTGGTCCCTCTGCTATAGGAAGGATATTATGAAACTTGAAAGGGTTCTGAGGAAGGGTCACTCGATCTGAAATGTTAACTCTGATTTGTCTCCACAGATACTGTTAGACCTGCTGAGCTTTTCCAGCAACTTCTATTTTTGTCTGAGAACATAAGAAATGGGAGCCCAAAGAAACAGGAAGATCAGTTCAACATGTTTTGTCATTCAGTACAATGGTGGCTGATCTTGGGCATCAGTTCCACTTTTCCACCTGCTCTTCATGTCCTTTGATTTCCTGAGAGACAAAATATCTGCCTATATTAACCTTGAATACGTTCAATATTACAGCACCATCAACCGTCTGGGGCAGAAAATTCCAAAGATTCTCAGTTCTTTGAAAAAAAGGTTCTTTCCAACTCTGTTTTTTGAGATCCTGTCCCCATATTCTAGAAACACCTGTCCAGTTTTTAAAGTGTCTTTAGAGTGAGATCCTTTCTCATTCTAACTCTGAAGAATGTAGACTGAATTTTCTAAGTCTGTTATCATGGGCCAGCCCTCTTCTGTAAGGGACTAATATAGTGAACCTTCACTTCTCCTATCGATGAGAGCAGGGACTGCAAACAGGACTGACCATGGTACAGGAAACTATAGAAATGGTGTAGTGGAGATAGAAGTGTTGTAGTGGCAGGAGACAATATAATTAGAAGAATAAATACTGTTGTTTGCATCTGTGAGCACAGGTCCAGTGGTGCCTGTCTGGTGCCATGGTTAAGGATATCTTCTCTGGGCTGGAGAAGAACCTGGATTGGAACAGGAGGAATCCAGTTGTTGGCGCAACTGACATTTGCTAGGACTGGATATGTTCTACTGAAAGAATTTGAATAGTGCACTAAAGAAATGAACAGAACGTCCAGGGTGATAATTTCCAAATTATTACCTGAGCCAAGGGTGTACTTGCAGAGGGTAGATAAAGTCAAGAATTTAAATGTGTGGCTTAAGGATTGTTGTGGAAGCAGTGACTTTCAATTTGTGGGCCTCTGGGTTAGAAGGCAGCTCTTCCGTTGGGATGGGTTTCACTTAAACTGTGCTGGGACCAATGTTCTGGCAAATTGAATAATTGGTGCTGCAGAGAGGGCTTTCAACTAATGAGGGAAGGGGCAGAGTTCTGGAAAGAGGATATGTAGACTTGCAAAGCAATAAGATAATGGTAGCTGTCCAGGGTAGCTATTTAGTTAGCAATACTCAGAGTAGGACAAGAAGTGACAGGGTGATCTAATGTTTGCAGCTCACAAATGCCAGGCAATGATCTTCTCCAATAGAGAAGTCTGACCACCACCACTTGATGGTGTTACCATCACTGAACTTCCCACTATCAACATCCTGGACATTATCACTGACCAGAAACTCAGTTTGCCATTTAAATAAAGTGGCTACAAGAACAGGTCAGAGACTGGAAATACTGCAACGACTCATTCACCTCTTGACACGCGACGCGCCCCGCGCCGCCGCCCCCCCCCCCCCAACCAAAGCCTTATCTTTACTCCTGATTTGTGCCTTTTAGATAATGTAGAATATTCCCTGCTTACCTGGGTGAATGTAGCTCCAACAACACTCAAGAAGCTTGCCACCATCCAGGACAAAGCCTCCCGCTTGATTAGCACCACATGCTGAAATACCCATTCCCTCCACCACTGATGCTCAGTAGCAGCAGTGTATGCTATTTATAGGATGCGCTGTAGAAATTCAAAGATCCTTAGACAGCACCTTCCCAACCAATGGCCACTTCCATCTAAGAACAAGGGCAGCTGGTACATCGAAACATCACTACCTGCAAGTTCCTCTCCAACTATTCACCATCCAGACTTGCAAACATATTGCCATTCTTTTGCTGGTTCAGATTTGCTGACTATACAAGCGTTCTTTTTTAAAAAGCAGTGAATAAGATCAAGGGGGGTTGGGTGGGGAGAGCATGGCAAAAAGACTAAATTAATGGCTCTTGTTTCAATACATGTAGTATTTAAAGTAAAATTAATGGACTAACGGCACAAGTAGATTAATGGTATGATCTTTATAGCCATTGTGGAGACTTAGCTACAAAGGGATCAAAGTTAAGAACTAAATATTCAGGGTATATGACACACAAGAAAGAAAGGGTTGGTGGGGTAGCGTTGTTGGTGCAAGATGAATTAAGTATGATAGCAAGAAATGATCTAGGATTGGAGGATGTAGAATCTGTAAAGGCAAATGTAAAAAATGACAAGGGGAAAGAAGAAACTGGTGGGAGTAGTCTATAGGCCCTCTAACAATGGCCATACTGTAGGACAAAAATAAATCGGGAGGTAGTGAGGGTTCTGCATTAATCATGGGTGACTGTAATTCTCATGTAGATTTTAAAAAAAACCAAATTGGCAAAGGTAGCCCCAAGGAATAATTCAGTGTACGCAGAGCAGTTTCCTTGAACAATACGTTATGAATCCAACTGTCAGGCTATTTTGGATCTGGTGATAAGAGTGAGGCAGGGTTAATAAATTACATGAGCGTAAAAGATTCCCTAGGCAACAGTGACCGTAACATGAAAGAATTTAGCTTTCAGTTTGAGTGAGAAACCTAGGTCGAATAACTGCGCTCAACTTAACTGAGGGTGATTTTCGAAGGAATGAACACAGTTGGCTGGAATGGGCTGGAAAAGGACTTCAATGGAAAAGACAATTGTCAAACAGTACTGGACGTTTAAGAAAGTGAATCTTAAAGATATACCACAATGAAAAAAGGACTTTAACAAGTTAATAAGCCAACCGTGGATAACCAGAGAAGTTAGCGATAGCATCAAGTTGAACAAGAAAAACATACGATGTGCCAAAGATTAGTGGTAAGCCAGAGGATTGGGCAAGTTTTTAAAAACCAATGAAATATTGCCCAAAAAGGGACAAAATATACTTTGAGGGTAAACCTGACAGTACTTTTTTAGATGAATTCTTCTTTAAATTATATAAAAATGATGAATGGGAAGTTAAGCCATGCCTGACAAATGTATTATAATTCTTTGAGGAGATAATGAAGAGAGTAGATAAAGGGGAGTCAGTAAATGTAATATGTTCAGATTTCCATCAGGTATTTGATAAGGTCCAATACATTAGGCTACTTAACATAAGAGCTTGTGGTGTCTTTGTGCATGGACAGGGGACAAATGTCTGGTCCATGTTCTAAGTTCTCATCCCAGCATAGAACTAGGTTGTGCAGGATGCATCAATAATCTGGTGACCCTGTCTAGCAAGTACTGGAGTGCTCCTCCTCAGTGGTTCAGATGACAGAAGCACATCTCTGAAAACCAGTTGCCTGTTTGTTATCGTCCTAGTGGATGCATGGCATTATAGCACTGTTCATCACCATTCTGAGAGTTGCATACAGGGGTCATTAGCACTGCTTTGTGGGAATACCTGTTACCACCCACATGAGACAATGCAGGAGGGCAAATATTGAAAAACCTGGAAGTTGTGTAGAATATAAGCATTGTGACAGTGGGTGCTTACCTAGAGGAATTGTTGCCTATGATCACAAATGAGCAAGACATTGAGAGAGTGAAATCCCTTCCTGTGGAGGAATCTGGCTGATCATTCTGTGGTGTTCATGTATAAGCTGTTGATAGCTCCTTGCACCTGAGGGAACCCAGTAATAGCTGCAGATCTGACTGCCCAGGGCCCCTGGCCTCCTGTTTTAAGGTCAAGACACCTTTTTTTTGTGTGGTGGTGGAGTTAGGAAGGGAAAGCGAATTATAATATAAAATATATAAACATAAAATGTGTTTATATGGTCATGACTCATGCACGCTTCGCCAAGAATTTTCGATTCATAATAATATTTTAGTATTTTGGCATATTTTGCTTTTTTTTTCCATATTTGGAGGCAAAAACAGACTGCTGTATTGATTGACGGGAATGACGAGGAATGCATGTTCAAATATATTTAGAATATGGCTTCACTTTGTTTATGTTTTACACTCCAGAATTAGGATCCCCAGTTTGAGAAGTGAACCTGTTCCTTATGAGGCTTTTATCATTGGGTTTCAGTGGGAGCACATACAGTGTTTTTCCTCAGATAAACTAAGTGTCAAGAACTTAGCTACTACTTGTTCCTCAATCAGATAAATAGCTCTGAGGAGCCATTCAAGGAAATTCCTTCATAGCACGTAACATCCCTCCATTGTGTATAAGTAGCTTAATGCTACGTAGTTACACAGGAAGTCAAATATTTTCTTTTAGCCTTGGGCCATTAGTAATCTCATTCTCTTATCACCTCTGAGAATTTTTGCTCTAAGGGAGTAAAATACTGAAAAATATTGTTTCAGTTCAGTCTATACTTACACCTTCCTTCAACTTTAATTTATTTCTCTACATTTTGTCTGTTCAAATTCTAGCATTTTGCATTGATATTCAATAATTGACAGCCCTGATCCAAGTAGGTGGGGAAACTCTCTCCATTAAAGACAGACAAATGGGCCTGAATTTTACCAAAAATCAGCTAAAAGTCAATACATTGAAATTCATGGAGAGTTCCTGTCTGGCTTGAGCTTGTTATCTCTCAAAATTCTCTGTTGCTCACCCCATTGTGTGCACCATGACTCCATGGCACTGCACTCATTTTGCGCTCGCCAACAGCCAAAATACTCACCGCTGTCAGGACACCCTTGAGATTTCCACCACCAGTGCCATATTTAAAGCCCAGCTGTGAACCATTCAATTGCTGTCAGCCACAAATAACCCTTCACAGTCCGCTTAATGGGGAAGAAATGAAAAAGAAAAGCTTCTGAGGGCACTTAGTTGGCATGGGTGATACTTCATTAGAAACAGCAGCTCATCATCTCCTGTCCAGCCAGCTGACATTGTAGCTTCAGGTCCAAGAATGAAGTTGGGCAAACTACCTATCGTGAATACAATACCATATTAGAACCCTATCTAAAGGAGTGCTACTCTTTTCTCAATGCCTGCCAAAGTATAACATTGCCAGTGTTTAATAGGAGTATCACTGATAGCTGAAAAGCCTTCAATCAATTGAAAACATTGCCTTTTACTGAATGACAGGAAAAGTGAAGAAATAAACAACTAAACATAGATTTAAGGCAAGGGACTGGAGCTTTAGAGGAGATGAAACATTTTTTTGTCACGCAGAGGGTGGTAGAAATCCGGAATTCAATGCCTGTAAGGGTAGTCAAGGCAGAAAGGGTCATAACATTTAAGAAGTATTAAGATGTACTGTTGAGATGCTAAGGCATACGAGTCTATGGGCTAAGTGCAGGAAAATGGGGTTAGAATAGTTAGATGGTCAATTTTGACCGTGTAGACTCCATGGGCTGAAGGAGATTTTTCTGTGCTGTAGACGTCTAACTCTATGACTAATAAATGGTGTCAGGGCAACTTCGAGCAGGGTCCCTGGTACAAACATAGATGTGTCACTGATGATCACACATGACCTGTACATAGATGGAATGGAACCTTTTTCTATTGATGAAGTCAGTTTTGTTGTGATATGGCGTTCTGAACAGGATGTGTGTCCAGTCTGCACCTGGGGGAATGGTGGCTCTTGAATGTGGGCAAGCTCTGCAATCCAGACTGCAGCACAAACCCTCTGTCTCTCCCCATTTCCCCTCACTTCCTCCCACTCCTATCACCAACCCACCCCATCCTCTTCTCATCTCTTTGATGGGGCAGTTGACGAGAAGAAGAGCAGAAGGAACAAATGTGTTTTCTCTCAAGCTGTCATAAAGCAGGAATCAGGCCTCATTGTGCAGTCAACTAGGTCATAGCCTCTAGTATAAAAAAAATTTAAAGGAGCCATATAACTATCAATGATCAGATCAAGCTTCACATCAGTCGTTGCTGCTTTGGAGCTTCTAACCCAAAATTAAACAATGCCACAAGCAATGTTTTATGATCCTACCTATGTTTTAGGAATGTCTATGCTGTTGTGTTAAAGAAAATATTCACCTTGAATATGATTGAATGCAGCTTTTACATTGTTTACATTTACTGTAAAAATAAAATGGTGTGCAAGTTTTTGCCCTTTGTTTAGGGCAGAATTTCAGACTTGCCTTTTAAAAATTGTTTGAAGGTAAACAAGATGCCAAATTTGAGTAAAATTCAAATCATTTACCTTCTTATCCAAAAAAAACTGAGATGGTCAAAATGGCCATTGTAGCCACTGAAGATTTAACCATGTAATTGTATTTTTTGCTAACCTTGGAAACCTTTTTGCGAAGTTTTTTTCTTAAATGAACAGAGGAGACTAAATTGTTTCACCAATGTTTGTATATAATAGCTTTTTTCAAAATTTAATCTATCATCTGATTGTAAGCACTAATTACAATTGTGCAAATTGCAGTGTCAATACTACAGCTTATTTATTTTGAAACTTGCATCATTCTTGGAACAGAGTTGCCACTTTAGGGCCACAGTGCAAGGATGCCTGATAGGCAGAAGCAGTCTAGAGCAGGTTGACTCAGATCTTCCTGGACCTTCATTCCACTAACACTGCCATACCCAAGCTTTTTGCAAAGTTTTGTCACATTCTGTAAAATAGCACTTGCTTGTTTTGAATCCTATTTGTGTTTCAATCACTATACTGTGCACAGGTTTTATAATCTCTTCTAAAATAAGTTTATTTGCTTCTGACCACAGCAACGAGCCCAGAGATAGAAGAATCAAAGCCTCAAAGGAAATCAATGACATATGATGAACTAAGAAACAAAAATAGGGAACTATACGAAGTGACAGTGGCACAAAAGGCAGATTCACTTCACAAACCAACTCCACAGCGATTACCTGACAACAAAGGAGGTCAGTTATGGATTTTACTTTTAATTTGATGTTCTTGAACTGCTGCAGTTATTTTGGTGCTACCACCATGATGTTAGATTAGGAATGCTAGAATTCTCAGTGAAAGGAATGCAATTGTTTGTCTAATCTGGAACTGTGAGGCTTAGCAAAGTTTGTGATTAAACCTTCTTAAACTGATGATTAAATCATTTCAGGCTGGATTGTAGTTTGCTGTGATGCAAGCAATTGCAAAAAATCCACTTCCAATTGCTATGTACAGTTTATTTATACGTCCCCAGAACATAAACTTGTTACAAACAATGTTTTAAAGAAATTTAGAATTGTTTCAGAAGCATAAAGGTAATAATACACCTATAAAAGGTGAAAGGTTATAGTTAAGAGTATGATTTGCTGTTTAGAGTAGTCCCATGTTATCGACAGAACATTAAAACCATGGAGCCAACAGTGTATATATAGTTAATAAAGAGATAAAAAGACTTATTTCTAACAGAGTTCAGAGAATATTGAACAATTTTTTAAATAATAAAGGGCCAGCCCCCATCCACACCATTTTTAGATGATCTGCTGCCACAATCCCCATTCTTGACTCCGCTCTGGACTGAGCTATTTGAATGTGTGTCAGTTAGTCTTCCTGTCCTTTATTCTTTTGTGAACTTCATCTCATTCAAAATTCTGGTGTTCATAATCTATCTGAGACTGTTTCACCTTTCATCCCTTAGTCATTGACCCATATTGGCTGCGGGTCCATCTACACTTCAAAAAGTAAAGTTTACATCTATTTAAGCTATTTCATGTGTAGTTCTGTTTTCAAACTTTTTCCAACCCTTAAGTCTCAGAATTCTGCTTTTCGTACTCTGTGGTGTAGAGTCATAGAGTCAAACAGAACAGAACCAATCCATGTTCACCATAATCCCAGACTAAATGGCTCCCACCTGCCTGCACTTGGCCCATATCGCTCCAAACATTTCTTATTCATGTACTTATCTAAATGTCTTTTAAATGTTGTAACTGTACTCTTATCCACTGCTTCCTCTGGAAGTTCATTCCACGCAGGAACCATCCTCTGTGTTTAAAAAAGAAATTGCCCCTCGTGTCTTTTTTAAATCTCTCTCCTCTCACCTTAAAAATGTGTCTCCTCTTGAAACACCCATCCTAGGGAAAAGACAACTACCATGAACTCTATCCATACCCCTCATTATCTTATAAGCTTCTATAAGGTCGCTTCTCAACCTCCTACCCTCCAATGAAAAAAGTCCCAGTTTATCCAGCGATTCATTATAACTCAAGCCTTTCATACCTGGCAACATCCTGATAAATCTCTTCTGATCCCTCTCCAGTTTAATGATATCCTTCCTATAACTCCTTCTTAAAGCATCTGAATCGCGGAACATTGAGCTGCCCGACCTGTCCATCCCTCGGCCAAGTTTCGGTAATAGCTGTGATGTCCCAATCCCACATTCCCGAAGATGCCCTGAGTTGATCAGCCTTACCTGTAGGACCCTTTATATTGAAACAAATGCAGTTTAATTCTTCAAAGTTACTTTGTTCTCTGCCTTGCTTTTGTTTGTCTTTTGTAATTAACTTGTTCTTTTCAGATTCAAAACCATCCCCATTTATCTCTTTATTTACTATGCTCCTAAGGATCCTTCAGCCCTGCACCCCCAAATAGTTAACAGTCTCACTTAATGGAACTAACAAATCTTCCCAGTAGGATATTGCTCCCTTTCCAGGACAAGTGAAGGCCATCTTTTTTGAACAGGTATTTTCCACCCCAGTAAAGATCCCAATGATCCAAAAACCCGAATCCCTGAACATTGCACCACCTCTTCAGCCTTATTTATCTCCTTTTATCTTTTTATTCTGTCCCTTGTTTGAGCTTGGCACCAGAAGTAAACAATTACTACTTTTGAGGTTCTGTTTTTTCAGTCTTCTACCTAACCTCCTTATATTCACTCTGTAAAGTCTTAATGTTTTCCTTACCTATGTCATCCTTACTAAAATGTACAGTAACTTCCAGTTTCTCACTCTCCCCTTTTAAAAAAATATGCTTCAAACTTTTTAGACATCCTTTAATCCTGGCACCAGGAAAGCAACATATTATCCTAGGTTCACATTCACTGCCATAAAATCTCCTGCCTGTGCCCTTTACAGGAGAATGTCTAACAATTATTCCTCTAAATTTTGTCAGATTCATTTTTTATTTGTTGCATGTTGTACATTTTGAAATTCTGGCTCCAACTTTAACAGCCATACCTTTAACTAACTCTGATATTCTTCCAAAAAAACACTTCTTTTGATCTTGACCTACTTCTCAAGCTTTAAAACACTGCCAGCCTCCCCTTTTTAAAATGCACGTATTGAATCAAATTTTCATTACAATGTTTAATGATTAAATTTGTCAGGTAGGTGTTGATTTTTGCCTAATTATGTCTTTGTAAACAGCAGCAGAATTGTTTTTTGAACATGCTTTATAAATGTGAATTATTTTTAATATAGTGATTAAATGCTGGTATTTTGCTCTGGTGGAGTAGTCTATGATGAAGCTATTGATGTTAAAATTCTCACTCCAAGTTAGAAGATGAATCAGGAGAAATTTATTAACTTGGTTGTTGTACCATGAATCAGTTGAGGCATTATCTCAAGGGAACCATAGATCAGTATTTGATACTATGGGGATAGTGATGCAATCCAATTAAACTTCGACTGTTCACGCAAAGAGCTAGACTTGGCATGATGTGACCTCCTCTTGTAGTTTTTAGTTGGTATAAAGAAACATTTAACTTGGACACTTCATGGACATAGGTTTATTTGCAGTGGATTCTGTACATCTGGTAGCAAACCTTTTAGAGCGAAGTGTACATTTTTATTTTAACCAATTGTCTGTGTTCAAGCTAAAAAGTGTGCCCATCTATGGTTGCACTTCAGCCTGGCCAGTACAACACAGGCCTTGTTCCATGATAAATTTTACACACAACAATTAAGGGACCACATATGGAAAGAGTTGCTATGCAGAAAGTTTCATGTTAGTGGATTCATTGCTGAGAATATATTTAAAGATCAGTGAGCCAAAACAAATCAATACATATTGACCTGGAATTTTCAGCCTTAGTCTGCATTAAAATTGGTTTATTTCAAAGAAAGTTATGGAAAATTTTGAATAAATGACCTTTTTTAAACACACCCTTTTGGCATAATTAGGGTCTCATTTGCTCAATACAGTGTATATGGGTGAAGTTGCATGGTAGGGGCATAAACAGGACCTCCTGAACTTAACTTTTAAAAGAATTTGTCATTGCAGACTATGGTCTGTGACAAGTCTGAAGTATTGTGAACAACAACTACTTGAAATGCTGGGCGAGGCGCCATTGAAAACAATAGAGGGCTAGGACTTGCCTATCTCTACAATGGAGTTGGTCTGCTCTTTATTTCAGGATGCTGGCTTGCAACCTGAAGCAGCTTGAATCCTTAAAAGATGCTGTTGAAAATTGGAAGCCACAAGAATGGAGCCAGAACCTTCCCACCATTTTTTTCAGAGATCTCGTAATGGAAATCCAGGCCAATTTATCATAATGTAAAAGTAAAGTTTTGCAGCAGGAATCTGGAAAGTAAAATGGAAAATACTAAAAATACTCAAGTTCTGGCAGCATCTACGGAGAGATTAACAAAGCTGATGATTCAGGCTGATAACCCAGCAACAGTTTTGAAAGGTTTTAAATTTGTAACTTTGATTCTCCAACTTTGCTGCCAAAGCAATTTCAGAAATGTTTGGTTTTGTGTCAAAAATAGTACGGTTTTCTGTTCTGAAGAAGGGCCTCGCACCTGAAACGTTGATACTGCTTTATCTCCACAGATGCTGCCAGACCTGCTGAGTTTCTCTAGTTATTTCTATTTTTGCTACAGTTTGGTTTTGTTTTACGTGATTGGGCTAATGCTTCTCACAAATCAATACTGATAATCTCTCCTGGTCTAATTATTTTTCCAGTTGCAAAAACAAACAAGTATGGAGATACCTGGGAAGAATAAGCATACTGATGGACAAGTAGATGAACCCAGAAATGTTGGAGCTATTCATATATAATGCATTCTACAAAAATATTTAATCTGAAAGCCTGAAGAGTCTTTTTAAAAAATTGATGCCAATCTAATTATACCATAACGATCTTATGATGATCTACTTTTTAATGGAATCCATTTGACTTGTTTATATTATTATCCATCAAAGACTTGTTTGTTCCATTTCTTAGCATAAAAATTATGATTAATTCAAAAATACTGCAGAAGTTTTCTTGCTGATACTTGTGTTCATTTCGATATATAACCATTTATGACAGGGAAGGTACGCAAAGTAAAATATTACTTTAGTTCAAGGGTGTATTAGACAATCTCACTATGGATGATTGTGTATTCTTAATTTTGAGCTGTGTTGTTGCTGTAAATCAAATTAAACCAAAGTGGTGAACTGTATTTAAGTAATACCATGTATATTCAATTTTCAACCATGAAGCTATTGATGCAAGTATAAATTAGAAAATGAACATCATTAAATGTACAGTGTTTTATTATGATTACATTTATATAAAAGCTAGCCCATAATTTCCTTACTGAACAAACTTTTTAAATCTTTTTAATTACATGAAATGAACTGCTAATATTATCAATGCTGCAGGGAAAGAATTGGGGGAAAACGCCAAGTACTGAAGTAAAATATTTGAATTGGTAATAGGATGGAAAATTTTGATTTGGCTAAAAGTGAAGCATAACTAGAAAAGTAGTTTACCATTACCAAACTCATGACTCGTCCTGCTAGGATTATGAAGTCCTTGGGTGTCACCCAATCAACATAACTTGATTTACATGTTTTTATTATTCATTTGTGGGATGTGAGCATCACTGGCTTGCCAGCATCTATTGCCTGTCCCTAATTGCCCTTGAGAAGGTGGTGGTGAGCTGCAGTCCTCTAGCTGTGGGTTGACCCATAATGCCATTAGGGAGGGAATTCTGGGATTTTGACCCGGCGACAGTGAAGGAACGACGATATATTTCCAAGTCAGGATGGCGAGTGACTTGGAGGGAACTTGAAGATGGTGGTGTTCCCATATTATCCGCCTCCCTTGTCCTTCTAGATGGAAATGGTCGTGGGTTTGGAAGGTGCAGGCTGAGTATCTTTGATGAATTGCTGCAATGCATCTTGTAGATTGTAGCAGCAGTGTGTACTGAGCATCGATGCTGGAGGGAGTGGGTGCTTATGGATGTTGTACCAATCAGGCTGCTTTGGCCTGGATGGTGTCAAGCTTCCTGAGTGTTGGGGTGGCAATTATCCAGATAAGTGGGGAGTATTCCATCACACTCATGACTTGTGCCTTGTAGATGGTGGATAGACTTTGAGGCATCAAGAGGTGAGTTGCTCGCTGCAATATTCCTAGCTTATGACCTGTGTTTGTGGTGAGTCTAGTTGAGTCTTTGGTCAATGATAACCCCCAGGATCTTGATTGTAGGGGAGTCAGTGATTTTAACACTGTTGAATGCCAAGGGGCGGTGGTTAGGTTGTTTCTTAGTTGTGATGGCCATATTTGTGCCACAAATGCCAGGCTGTTACTTGCCACTTGTCAGCCCAAGCCTGGATGTTGTCCAGATCTTGTTGCATTTGGACACGGATTGCTTCAGCATCTGAGGAGTCCCAGACTGTGCTGAGCGTTATGCAGTCATCAGTGAACATCCTCTTATGATGAAGAGAAGATCATCAATGAAGCAGCTGAAGATGGTTGGGCCTAGGACAGTACCCTGAGGAACTCCTGCAGAGATGTCCTGGAGCTGAGTTGACTGACCTCCAGCAACCACGTCCATTTTCCTGAGTGTCAGGTGGGACTTCAACTACTGGAGAGTTTGCCCCCGTTACCCATTGATTCCACTTTTGCTAGGAGTTCTTGATGACACACTCGGTCAAATGCAGCCTTGATGTTGAGGGCTATCACTCTCACCTCACCTCACCTCTGGAATTCAGCTCTTTTGTCCATGTTTGAACCAAGGCTGTAATGAGGCCAGGAGCTGAGTGACCCCAGCGGAACCCAAACTGTGCATCACTAAGCAGGTTATTTTTGAGCAGGTGCTGCTTGATAACATTATTGATGACTCCTTCCATCACTTACTGATAATTGAGAGTAGACTGATGGGGCAGTAATTGGCCAGGTTGGATTTGTCCTGATTTTTACTTAGTTCATACTGGTGCAATTTTCCACATTTTCCGATAGATACCACTGTTGTAACTGTACTGGAACAGCTCAGCTAGGGGAGCAGCAAGTTCTGGAGCACATGTCTTCAGTATTATTGCCAGAATATTGTCAGGACCTGTAGCCTTTGCAGTATCCAGTGTCTCCAACTGTTTCTTGATATCATGTGGAGTGAATCAAATTGGCTGAAGACTGGTATCTGTAATGCTGGGGACCACTGAAGGAAGCCAGTAAGTTTGAGAGCTTCCATTGTTGGATTCCTCAAGGGATTAAACTGTACAAAACATATATAAAACATCAATAAACCAAATAGGTTGTTGCTGTTGTGTAGATCGGTGTTGGGGTGAAGCCATGAATTGATTTGAATGTCAGAAAGAGAATTTAAAATGCATGATTTATCAGAATCAGTTGAACTGGTGGGCGAATGAGTGTTTAGGAACGGACTGGTTGAATCAGAAGCTAGCAAAGATATAGATGAGGAATTTAATAATTGATGACCTCCGGCAGGGGTGAGGAAGTCGGTGTCACAGGTGGGATAATATCCCCAATATAAAGACTATGATTAGACAGTGATCAACGTCAAGTAGGACACAAAGGTTGTGACCACTCTGTTACATCCTGAGATAGTGGGTGATAAGAATATGGATTTTTTTTTTTTATGGAAGCCAGACACGATAATTGCAATGTTGAGGAGGAAATTGCCACGATGTACAGTAGTGGGATAATGGCAGCTATTCTAATCAGCACAATGAGACTAGCAGTGATCCTTAAGATCTAAGTTGGGGCTCAATTATTCATGTTTATTCATGACTTTAATAATGAGATAGAAAGTTGAATTCCAAACTTCCTGATGGATACATAGTTAGATCACAATGGAAGTAAAACAATACAGGAGGATTGAGTGAATAGGTAAACAAATGAATTTCAAAGTAGCCAAATGTCAGATCATTCCCAGGAGCAAAAACAGAGGTTGCTGGAAAAGCTCAGCAGGTCTGGCAGCATCTGTGAAGAAAAAAATCAGAGTTAACGTTTCTGATCCGGTGACTCTTCAGGTTAACTCGGATTTTTTCTCCTTCACAGATGCTGCCAGACCTGCTGAGCTTTAACAGCAACTTCTGTTTTTATTCCTGATTTACAGTATCCAGAGTTCTTTCGGGTTTTGTTTATTTTTAGTCAGATCATTCTCTGTGGAGCAAAAAGGTAAAGAACAACTACTGATGGTGAAAAGTGAGAAACAATGGAAGTCTAAAGAAGCTTGAGAATCTACATATGTAATTCATTAAAATGAGCAAGTACAGAAAATAAAAGGCTAGTGACATAGGACATAGAACAGTACAGTACAGCACAGTACAGGCACTTTGGTGCACGATGTTGTGCCGAACTTTTACCCTAAACCTAAGGTCTATCTAACCTCCACCACTACCTTATACTATCATCCATATGCCGATCTAATAGCTGCTTAAATGCCCCTAATGAGGCCGACTCCACGACCTTCTCCAACAATGTATTCCACGCCCCTACCACTCTGAGTAAAGAACCTACCTCCGATGCCTCCGGTCACCTTAAAACTATGCCCCCTTGTAATAGCTACCTCCACGCTAGGAAAAAGTCTCTGGCTGTCCACTCTATCTATACCTCTGATCATTTTGTACACCTCTATCAAGTCACCTCTCATCCTTCGTCGTTCTAAAGAGAAAAGCCCTAGCTCTCTCAACCTTTCCTCGTAAAACCATTCCAGGCAACATCCTGGTAAATCTCCTCTGCACCTTTTCCAATGCTTCCACATCTTTCCTGTAATGAGGTGACCAGAACTGGACACAATACTCCAGACTATACTTTTGTATAGCTGGAGCATAACTTCACAGCTCTTGAACTCAATCCCTCTATTAATGACAGCTAACACACCATACACCTACTTAACAACTTGATCCACCTGGGTGGCAGCTTTTAGGGAACTGTGGACATGAACCCCGAGATCCCTCTGCTCCTCCACACTGCCAAAAATCTTGCCATTAACCCTGTATTCTGCTTTCAGATTTGTCCTTCCAAAATGAATCACCTCACACTTTTCAGGGTTAAACTCCATCTGCCACTTGTCAGCCAAACTCTGCATCCTATCAATTTCCCTTGTAACCTAGACTAGCCCTCCACACTATCCACAACTTGACCCACCTTCATACCGTCCACGAACTTGCTAATCCACCCTTCCAGTCCTACATCCAAATCATTTACAAAAATCACAAGTAGAAGAGGACCCAGAACAGATCCTTGTGGTACACCACTCATAACTGAGCACCATGTTGAATATCTTCCGTCCACTACCACCTTTTGTCTTCTAAGGCTCAGCCAATTCTGAACCCAATCTGCCACATTCCCCCCTATCCTATGCCTCCTTACTTTCTGCATGAGCCTACCATGGGGAACCTTATCAAATGCCTTACTCCAAACCATGTATACCACATCCACTGCTCTACCTTCATCCACGTGTTTGGTCACCTCTTCAAAGAATTCAGTAAGGTTTGTGAGGCATGATCTACCCCTCACAAATCCATGCTGACTATCACGAATCAAACTGTGCCTATCCAAGTAATCATAAATCCTATCTCTCAGAGCCCTTTCCAATAATTTGCCCACCACTGAAGTAAGACTAATTGGCCTGTAATCCCTATTCCCTTTTTTGAACAAGGGAACAACGTTTGCCACTCTCCAATCTTCTGGCACTATACCCGTGGGCAGTGAGGACGAAAAGATCATCGCCAAAGGCCCTGTGATCTCTTCCCTCACTTCCCATAGAATCCTTGGATAAATCCCATCAGGGTCAGGGGACTTATCTATCTTCAAGTTCCTCAAAATTCCTAGTACATCTTCCTTACTAACATCCACCTCCTCTAGCCTACCAGCCTGTTTCACACTGTACTCCCCTACAGCTAGGTCCCTCTCAGATGTGAATACCGAAGAAAAGTATTCATTAAGGACCTCCCCTATCTCTTTAGGCTCTGTGCACAAATTCCCTTTACAATCCTTGATTGGCCCTACCCTTTCTCTGGTCATTCTCTTATTCCTCACGTACATGTAAAAAGCCTTGGGGTTTTCCCTGATCCTATCTGCCAAAGTTTTCTCATGCCCCCTTATAGCTCTCCTAAACCCTTTCTTCAGCTCCTTCCTGGCTAGTATCCCTCTAGAGCCTTTTCCGATCCTTGTTTTCTAAACCTTATGTAAACATCCTTCTTCCTCTTAACTAGTCGTTCGACCTCTCTTGAGAACCAAGGCTCCCTCACTCGATCGCATCTCCCCTGCCTGCTGGGGACAAACA